TTCTGAATAGAGGTATAATTTTTTTTGTAGTAATAGGGATCAAATCCAGAGACTCACACATGCTAGGTAAGCACCTTACCACTGAGTTGCATCCTCAACCCTAAGGTGTCAATTTTTTAAAATTATAGGAACTCTAAAATTCACCTCCCATTCTCCTCCATTTCTTGGCATTTTCACGGTATAAAGTCTTTTGTGTCTGGTTTCTTTCATTTAGCCTATGATTTTGAGATTCATTCATGTACTTTGTTTTTTTAAATTATGAAGTAGTATTCCATTGTATAGGAACAATACAATCTGTTTAAGCATTTACATGTTGATGGGTATTACCGCTTTTCCCATTTCTACTATAATGAATAATGTTGCTGAGCACACTCACCTACACTGTCATTTCTCTTGAGTAAATACTTATGAGTGGGAGTGCTAGATCACATGAGCAATCTCATGAAAGATCCATTAAACATGAGGAACTGCTTCTTTCTTGCTGTTTTCCAGATTCTCCTCTTATCATTTGCCATTTCGATTACAATGCGCCTCGATATGTATTCTTTGAGTTTAACCCTACTTATGATGTGTTTGAACTTTTGCCTATAGAGATAAATGTTTTTAATCAGATTGGGAGAATTTTCAGCCATTCAGCTTTCTGACTCCTTCTTACACTCTTCTTTCTGCCCCTTTCTTTCTTGAATTTTCATTATTCATATGTTAGTATGCTTGATGGTGTCCTACAGGCTTATAAGGTGCTGTTCCTTTTTATTCAGTCTTTTTTTTTTCTCTGTTCCTCAGAATAGATTGTCTCAATTGACTGATTTTAAAGTGTGCTGATTCTGTCTTCTGCCGGTGCTAATCATTAGAACTTGTTTCATATTCCAGAAGTGGTCTAGTTCAGTCATTGTCCTACATGCACTTGAAAAGACTGTGCATTCTGTTGTCGGGAGGTGCGTTCTACAAACGTCAATTAATTCAGATTGGTTGAATTCGGATTGGTTGATGATGTTGTTCAAGTCTTTCATACACTTACTGATTTTCTATCTACATGTTTTTCATTAACTTGAGGGAAAAGTATGGATATATTCAACAATAATTGTGGATTTGTCTACTTCTCCTTTATGTCCATCAATTTTTGCTTCACGTATTTTGAAGTTCTATTAGTAAGTAAATAAACATTCAAGTTTCTTATGTCCTCTTGGTGAGTTGATGCTTTTATTATTTAAAAATATACTTCTTTAGCCCTGCAGTACTCTGTGTTCTGAAATTTATTTTGTCTGCTATTAATATTGCAATTTCAGCCTTCTTTTGATTAGTATTTGTATGGTATATCTTCTCCCATCCTTTAACTTTCAAGCAATCTGTTTCTTCATATTTAAAGTGAGGTCTTTATGCTGGTAGACAGCATATGGTTGAGTCTTACTTTCTCATTCAGTCTGATAATCTCTGCTTTATAATTGGAATGTTTATAATTCACATAGCCCCTTCTTCCATCTTCAAAGTGGGATAGAGAGAAAAGCATGAATCAGATCTGTTTTTCCTTGTAAGATTGTTTCATTTAAAAACATCTGTTCCTAAGGCCAAGGTGAGTACCAGGGATCATGATTAGGCAAAAATATGGACATTCTGGGACCCAATAGAGTGAGTCTTATCTTCTGTTCTCATAAGTTCTTATAATCAGCATAGCCCAGGTGTTATCAGGCAGTATAAGATCCTGCCCACCTGGAGAGAAAAGAGGTTAGGTCGGAGTACTCACTGCTCTAGAAATATAAAAATTCAATTTGATAGGAAAATAGGGGTTTTTTTTCATTTTTGAAGGAAGATAGAAGAAATTTAATTGTTTCAAAAGCTTCATCTCTGAAATCCCTGAAAATTAGCAGAACTTTTAAAGAAAAGACAAGAAAGTGGCAAAGGGCAGGGAACCCATGTGCAGATTTATCTTGTGTTAGACAAGCGTGAGTGGGCAATCTCTCCTCCCACCTTCTTTGGTGCCTGTCAGGGTTGGGGATTGCAGCCCTTTAGCTGCCTTCTCTCAGCAAGAGAAATGTGTTCCCGTTTTTTGGGGGGAGGGTGGATAGTCCCCAAATTTAGTCTGTTTTTCAGGTACCAAGTAGGGAGGGAGAAGAGAGACTGGAGGGCTGTTCAGACGTTGCTCAGATGAGCCCAATTTAGGAAAGAAAAATTGGCAGAGGAGCTGGGGATGGGCACAGAGATAAGGAGGCAGCACAGTTTAAAGGATTCATATGTTTGAGTCAGACCATGTTTTTTTAAACTTTAAACACAGCTTATCGAGGAGTCATTGACATTGCACGTGGCTAAGTATGTGCGGATAGTGCAGATAGGTTTTGACACAGGTATGCTTTGGTGAAAACTGCACACAGTCAAGAAAATGAACAAATCCATCATCCCATAAAGTTCCTCCGTTTTCCTTTGGAATTTCTTCCTGCTGACTCCCACCCTCCATCGCCTACCGGACCCCAGGCAGGAACACTAGTCTGCTTTCTGTCACTATAGCTTTGCTTGTGTTTTCTAGAATTTCAGGTCAATAAAATCATATATGTACCCATTTGTCTTGTTCCATTCAGCATAATTATTTTAAGATTAATTCTTGTTGTTAAGTGTACCATTACAGTCAGAAAGAACTTGACCCAGGAAATGCCCTTTTGAAACATATCCTCCATCTTAAAATAAGAGCCACCTCATGGTCACTGTGACTCTGCCTGACCTAAACTCCAGACAATACTCCATCATCAAAGAAAGGAAATTGTTGTCTGGGACTGGAATCCTGAAAATACCTGGTTCGACATGGATCAGTGACCACCTCAAAGAATGGAGGTGACAACCACAAGGACCCTTCCCTGACAACCTCCTAGCAACAGCCTAACCACAAAAATGCCCCCACTCCTTCACTCCTCTGTGACTTCCCCAGGCTGTAAGTAGAAGGGGGGGTCTCAGTCTCTGCTAGGCCTCCCTCTGCAGGTTTGTACCAAATAAACCGGTGTTACTATTAAGCTCCTCTCTGTTTCCTTCATTTGGTTCTTTTCTTACAATTAGCCCATTCCTCAGGAGCACTCTATTGTCAAAACATTTGGAATATAAATTCAGGCTCTATGCTTCCTAGTCATTTGACCATAAGCAATTCAATTGGTGTCTTGATTTACAAATATGTTGTGCAAGTCAGTTTTCTTTTCTTTCTTTCTTTTTTTTTTTTTTTGGCATTGTGATCAAAATACCCAACAAGAACAACTTAGAGGAGGAAAAGTTTATTTGGGGCTTATAGTTTCAGAGGGTTCAGTCCATGTTGAGCTGATTCCATTGCTCTGGACCCCAAAAGAGGCAGAACATCATGGAGAAAGGGCACAGGGGAGCAAAGCCACTCAGTTAATGGCAGCTGGGAAGCAGACTGACAGGAGGAGGAGCTAGAGACAAGATAGATCAACACTAAGATAGGCCTCCAGTGACCTCCATCCTCCAGTCATGCTCCATCTGCCTACAGGTACAACCCAGTGCAGAGGTCCTTTCAAATTATTATTCTATGAAATGGATTAATCCACTGCTTAGGTCACAATCTAATCATCTTATAATCTAATCATTTCACATCTGAACACAATTGCATTAATATGGGAGCTTTTGAGAGATTGAGACATGCCTCATATCAAAACCCTAACAGATGTGAAATGGAGATAATAATATTTAGCCTTTATGGTGGTTTATGCAAATGTTTCTTAAACTAAAAAATTTCTCCAAATAATGTGTTATTTTAGAGAGAATACAATAAATGTCAACTCTGAACCATCCTGGTTGGGAAGAGGTTGTAGAAGGGCTACCACTGATGTCACAGAAAGTTTGGCCATTATGCTGTGTGATCTAAAACTATGCCTTTCAATGAGATGTTGGAAATGAGACTGGTGGAGAATCAGGCCATTCTTGATATCAGGGTATAAACTCTTTCTAGAATCTGATAAAAACAATGAACTTTTTCCAGAAAATGCCCCATACAGAATGCTAGAAAAGATCCCACTTATGGACCTCAATTTTAAGAATCCCAATTTATAGAATCAGTAAGCAAAGAGAAAGCATAAAAATCCCAAGGGGGCTGTGGCTGTGTTTCAGTGGCAGAGTGTTTGCCTTGAATGTGTGAGGCACTAGATTCCATCCTCAGCACCAAATAGAAATAAATAAACAGAATACAGACATTGTGTCCATGTATAATTTAAAAAAATTAAAATTAAAATAAAAATCTTGAGGCACTCAGGGCTTCTAAAGCCATATAATCAAACTGGCATGAGATTCCTGAATTTAGGGGACAATTGCTTACTCTGTTAGGGAGTAACAGATGTCAAAGGTTTACAGCTGTTGACATCCCCACAGTGCTGGAGAGCCAGACTTATGTTGTATTTGATTGATACACCAAAAAACCGCGACTTCTAAATAGCACTTTGTTGGTATTTCAAGGGGCCAGTGTAGTATCTAAATTGGCTTAATAGCTCAGAACAAATACACCCAGGAGAAGAACCAGTTCATAGAAACACCTTTTCCTTCATTACTGCTGGTTTTCTTTCTTTCTTTTTTTTTTTTACCGTCAACTTCCTTGGTTCAGTGAGTACTAACACAATGATTAATAAATCTGACACATTCTTTTTCCTTCCAAAAAATATATTTTCGTGTCTGCGTAAGTGACCTAATCTTCTGACTCCTTTAAGAAGAATGAGTCCATTCTTTCAGTCACGTCCACCGATTTTCAGGCCAAAGTTTTTATGCATTCAGTGGAAGGCAGTGTGGTATAGTGGGAAAAGAGGACCGCGAAGATCTCCCGGGTCTGGTCCCCGTCACCATTTCCCCATATATATGAAGCGGGCTGGTGGTGGTGCCTATGTTCTCAACTGAACAGCGCCTCCAGTCCTGTCTTGGGCCGCAGAACCCCGGGAATAAGCGCTCTAGAACGTGGCAGAACGCTCCGCCTGGGCTGCAGCGCCAGGAGCAGTGCAGCGGCGGGAGCAGCGGGTTGCGCGCGCAGCTCCTCCACCTCCGACCCAGCGTCTCGGTTGCTAGGAGAACTGGACCAGGCGCGCTTTCCGGCATCGTTGCGGCGGTCATGGCGGAGGCCGTCTGGAATACCGACACTGGGGAGGCAGTGTATCGCTCCCGGGACCCCGTATGCAACTTGCGCCTCCGGTAGTTACACCCTAGCCCCGGGGTTGCATGCTTTTAGGCCTTCAAATAATTCGAGCCTAGACTTTTCCTTGTTCTGAGGCCCACTTCTGCCTACAGTCCTAATCAGTTGCTTCTCGATCTTTGCACAACTCGCACTACCCGGACCCTTCTCCGCTCACAGCCTTCACAGGTCCTTTCAAATCTTTGTCGTCCCCAAAGCTCTCTCATCCTAACTTCCCGGTAGTGCCCCGCTCCCCACCCTCTGAGTTGTCTGCAATCTGCACGCCTTTGCAACTCCACCTCCTCAGTTTTGTTTCCTGATCCTCGCTGTGTTCATCTTCTGGTTGAATGTCTTGTAATACAAATTTTGGGCTTCTTTTTCCTTGACAGAGTTCATCTGCAAAGAATCACATCAAGCAACTTTCTTCATTACCAGCCTGCTACCCAGTCTGGGAAGGACATCATAGACTTAGGCACTTTTAGGCCTCATCCAACTGCCAGTGGGTGTTATCGTGGTGATGCCACCTTTTGGGGGTCTGGGAAAGTGTCTGGGACAGTAGAGTTACCTCTTAAAACAAACCCAGGCAATCTTAATGACTATGTTGTATTGTGTATGAAAATTGATTAAGATACGATTCCTCTCATCAAGATACTGATCCAAATTGTGGTCAATGTAGTGAAATCACAAACACTATACTTTTGATACCTTGTAAATTTCTCTGGCAACCTGAATACCATCGGGACTTTTTTTTTTTTTTTTTTGTCTAAGAGAAACTGTGCTTCAGATTCTAAATATACACATAAGCACTTTTAAGAACAATTTTAAAATTGAAGACTACTTGAAAAACATGCATTTGAACGTTCAGCTCCTTCTAGCTCTAGCATTCTTGGATTCCCTGAGAGTTGGTTATGAAAGCATGTCAAATAATATCAGCACTAGAGAAGTTATGTGATTAGCAGCTACGGGAACAAAAGATTAAGTATTCTCAGTAGATCTGTTTCCTTATGGTGACCTATTTGAAGTGTTCTTTTGATTTTCCTTATCCAAGAAGCCAAAAGAGTGAGGAAGAGAGGGCAAAGTGCTTACATGAGGTCATTAGTCTTTCTGCTCTTGTTGTTTCTATTTAGAAGTGTTTCTGGGAAGAAGTATAAGCTGATGTGTTGTGAAACATGTGTCTCTGAAAAAGGCAAACTCATCCAGGAGTGTTTTAGATTTGGTTCTTTAAAAAATCATTTGCTTGCCTTCCCTGTCCTCTCCTGATGCTTGTCTCCTAAATGACAGTGTGATTCTAGATATGGCTTCAGGAAAAGGGTAGGGTTCTTATCTAGCAAATGCAGACAGTTAGGACTAAGGAAGGACTGCTCTTCGGCATATATCTAAATTTCATTTCCTGACACTGAATTAGATAAAGTATCTTCTATAAAACAAGACCTTTTATTCAGATTAGAGTAATTAAGACTCCAGATTCTAATCTTAGCTTCTACTCATACTCTTTGGAGTCCATCCACAACCTCTCTAGCCTTTGTTTAGATCAAATGCTTTACAAATTACTGAACTCCAACTGGTTTTATAGCAAATACAAGAATATGGACTTTATTTATAATCAACTTCAAGAGCAAGAAGTGCTGGTTTGGCTCAAACATTTAACTCTGTTGTCTTTGGAGGTGGACACCGCCCAGATGAAGATGAAGAAGAAGAGATTGTGATTGGATGGCAGGAGAAGCTCTTCAGCCAGGTGAGCCATTGTCACTCATCTGCTCATTCTATATCTACCTGCCTGGTGACACATATTGCCATCTGATTTCCAGAAAAACTGTAATGATTTATACTTTCCCCTGTTGTGTTTATGTTGACTGATTGTACTAACTACCATTACTCAGATTTATGATCCTGGGTAAGGTACTTCTTATCTCTGAGCTGTATGCCATCTCTAACAGCAGAGTTGGATTAGACCATCACTATAGCTCCTTCTGGCTTCTAACATTCTTGTATTCCCTGCCCTCCATCATTTAAATAAATAAGAGTTGATTATGGTATGTCAAATAGTATCAACTCTGTAATAATGATTTGATGAAACAGTTATAGGAACAAAAGTTTGAAGTATTCTCAGCAGATCTGTTTCCTTATGGTGACCTCAGTTTGAAGTGGATCTGTACCAAAATGAAGCAGCTTGTCAGAGTCCTTTGGATTATCAGTACCGTCAAGAAATTCTGAAGCTGGAGAATTCTGGTGGCAGGAAGAACCAACGAATTTTTACCTATACTGACTCTGACAGATACACCAACTTGGAGGAGGTATTATTCTTTATTCAGGTGTCATAACTTCCTTCTTTGTCTTCCCTAGTTTTGTGGCCTTACCAGTTCTGTTTATTAAAGCAGAAGCCTGGTAAGTAAGGGAAAATCCAATAGCCTGTCTAGCAACTTCTATGAGCTTCTGGCAGCCAGGCTGAACTGGAATGAACACAGACTGCAAGTTATGAGGCTGCTATGTGGCTGCTGTTCCCCTCTCTACCTGCTACAGGGCCTGGGGAATCAGACAGTGTGCAAACTAATAAGACAGTCTGTGAGGTCTAGAAATGTCTAGATGAATTTCAGCCCAAACTCTGAGGGTATGCATTTGAAGAGGAATTTAATGTGCCATAGGGAATGGCTTGTCATCATTTTGTCTGTTACAACATACCCTGTAGACCTATTTTACATTTCTTCTTTGTATATGTTCTGTTTTGTCTTGTCAGAGAGATTTTAAAATCATTGAAACTAGATCCTCTATTTTCTGATTTCTTTCCTTTTTTTTTTTTGTCTATTACCCTTTAGGTCTCTATAAGGAGTAGGTATTAAGTGAAAGTTTTTGAAAGATTAACATGCTTTTTTCAGGAATTCTATGAGTTCGGGGCATGTAAAATTTGGGTTGTCTGTTTTGGAAAAGCAAATAAAAATATGATTGGTACTCAGTTACCCATGAGAGGATTTTCCACAAAACATTTGTATCCCATTTGGCATTTTCCCAGCCATCTACTTAATTTCAGTGTATACCATAGAAACTAATCTAACTTTTTATTGGCGTGTGCTCAGAGAATGCAAACCAATTTTAATATTAGCATAAATAACTCATTGTAAAATTCAAGGACAAAGACATGATAGGAGTCTTCTTTGGGTTGTCCGTGCCTCTCTCCTGTTCATTATTGTGTATAACTGAGGTGGCTGTGCCTGTTACATTCAGGTCCTGGAGAAGGTTTTAGAAGAAAGACTTCCCTTCAGGTGCCTGGCCCCACGTGGCCCTGATCAGATGGCTTTCACAGGGCTACTCTCTTTTCCCAGCACTGTCAGAAAATGACCACTGCAGCCAGCGAGGTGCCGTCATTTTTGGTTGAGCGAATGGCAAATGTCAGGCGGCGACGGCAGGATAAGCGAGGGATGTGAGTGCGAGTTTGTGTGTTGGGGGGGTGGCTGCAGGGCTCCTCGCTGTCCTCCTGTGCCAATGTTCTCAGTATTTCCATCCACTGGAGCTTCCCATTCTGCTATGCACCTCCAACCGGGGTGTGCTCCCCTAGGTTCCCCTTCAGGCTTTTCAGGGGGGGAGGTGCCATGGAAGTGACCCTTTCTGTGGTCCCTCCCAGGGAAGGTGGCATCTTCAAGTCACGCATGGTCACCTGGGAACCCTCAGAAGAGTTTGTCAAGAACAACCATGTCATTAACACCCCTCTTCAAACAATGTACATCATGGCGGATCTTGGACCCTATGGAAAGTAAGTCAAGTTCTCAACTGCCAGCTCAGGTCCCTACCCCTTCTGTCACTAACCATCCTTTCCTGTAACGGTCACCTGGCGGATATGGGAGGGAGGATCTTCTTTGTGTGTGTGTGTGTGTGTATACTCAGAAGAAAGTCTTTTACCACACTACTCCTCATTATATCCTCTGTCCTCTCCCTGCAGAGGGCTCATTTCTTCTCTTGTTTCCCTGGAGGAGGCCCGGTGATCCTGAACCTTGATGTTGATTTCCTGGTTTCTAGGCTTGGCTATAAGACCTATGAACATGTCCTCTGTACCCTGAAAGTGGACAGCAATGGTGTGATCACAGTAAAACCTGACTTCACTGGCCTCAAAGGACCCTACAGGTGAGGGGAGGGAGGAAGGGGTTGTGAAGTCTGGCATTCCTTCCCTGGCTTCCCTTCTTGCCCCGAGTTGAGGAGATTCCCAGAAAGTCCTACATATGTTCCAGCTTTCAAATTCCCAAACAATGGTTCACATTTTGTTGTGGGTAATAGGCCATTAGGAAATTGTCAGAAAATGTGCAACTAGCTTGAAAGGGATCTTTTCATTAGCATAGTGACCTGAAAATGATTCTCCACACTGCTGAATATAAACAGACCGACCAGAACATGGAGGCGTAAACTCAGTCAGGCCAGGCTGAATTTGCTTATCTCTAGCTGATGTAACAGAACCACAAGTTATAAACTACCTGGGCCAACCTGTCTGTTTTCTAGGTGAGAGGACTGGGTGCCAATGATGTTGTGCTTTAGGATTTCACTGTGACTTTGAGATGGAAATAGGCTCAGAACCTCTCTAATCTAGTGTGAGGCCCTTTCTGCTCTGCCACTTTGTACTCCTCTCCTAGTCATCACTAAGGCCACTTTCATCATCATGAATTGACATGAGGGGTATGGCCTATGACAGCTCATCCCTGGGCTGGATCTGGAGGGTACCTTATCTCTATCATCAGAGGTGGTCCTTTTGTGGTCTTTTTTTTTTTAATTTTTTATTTTTTTAATTGGTTGTTCACAACATTACAAAGCTCTTGACATATCATATTTCATACATTAGACTGAAGTGGGTTATGAACTCCCAATTTTACCCCAAATACAGTTTGCAGAATCACGTCGGTTATACATCCACAATTTTACATAATGCCCAATTAGTAATTGTTGTATTCTGCTACCTTTCCTATTCCTTTTGTGGTCTTGACCTTACAGAATCGAGACAGATGGGGAGAAGCAGGAGTTATGGAAGTATACGATCCACAACGTGTCCTCCCTCGCACAGCCAGAGGAGGAGGAGCGAGAACAGCGCGTGTTCAAGGATGTAAGAGCCAGTTCATTCCAAGCCCCTGTGTCTGGGAGATGAGGCTGCCTCTGAGGGGATGTCAGCAGTTGTTTGGGAAGAGCCTTGCCCTTCACAGCCCTCTTCTGACCTGGAAGCGGACATATCAGACAGAACTTTTGATCTTATCATAATATAGTAAGAATAACAGTGGCATTTATTTGAGTATTTATCATGTCCTGTGCCAGGCACTTCACATGCATCAGTTAAGCCTTACCACAGCCCTTTGAGGTGAACAGGTGAACACTTTTAAAAAGTGTCAGTGGCTGGGATGCTTGGCCCTGAGGCTCTCGCTGCCTTGCCCATTATTGTTTCTTTTCTCCCTTCCATTCAGAAGGGAACCCTGGTTTGCTTTGAGCTGCATCTTGAAGTGTGGTTTGGTTTTTTCCCTTAGCTTTATGGCCGACACAAGGAATATCTCAGCAGCCTCGTGGGCACTGACTTTGAGACGGTGGGTAGCATGGCTTCCTACAATTTTGTAAGGACTGTCTGACTGTGGATAGTAATAGTACCTCTCTTGAAGGTCTCAAAAATATGCTATGCATTATAAAAGAAGGCCAAAAGAGCAGCAGAGAGGGTGTAGTCCTTATTAGGTGTTTGAAAACATTGACCCAGAACCGTTAATGCCTTTTTAATAAGGTCTGAAAGGGTGCATATGGGCTGAGAGTGACTTTCTCTGGGATGAGATGAGGTTGGGAGGTGGCAGATGGGTATTGGGTGGTGAGAAGAATATGTCAGGGATTGTTACTTTTTAATTCTACAAATTCAGGTGGGTTGGGGTTTTTATCAGTGGTAACACATTCATGTATTATTTATAGTTAATTTTAAAAATAAATATTAGTATGCAAAAATGTCTTCTTCACTCTTCATGTGATATTTTTCCAAACTTCCCCATAAAGAGAAAAGGCGTTTCAAATATTTTGGCTCTTAAAAAACAAAAGAAAACAGCTTGGAGAGGTTATTCTAGAGTCTTTGTATGCCTTCCTCAACCCAGGAGCAACACTGCTGTCCCCCCACATGCACACTGGAGTGTTGTTCCACTACTAGATTTGGGAACAAGGAGAACTATTCATTGTTCTCTCCCCACCCCCATAAAAATTTACTTGTATTATTTTCATATTGTGCAAGCAACAGATATCCTTGTTAAAGAGTTAGGTAAGACAGAGCTGATTGTAGTGGTGCATGCCTATAATCCCAATGATTTGGGGCAAGTTTGAAGCCAGCCTGGGCAACT